CTCCTGTGTGGCTTTGGTTTGGGTTCCCATTTTGGCTCAGTTCCTGCCTCCCTGGCTCCTGACTTGGGGTAGCACCTGGATCTAGTTTCAGGTCCTGCCTTAGCTCCTGATTCAACCAGGATGAGATCCATTCCAACTCGTCTGCCCTTTCAAAAGATTTTTAAAATGGGCACCCCAGACAGTGGTGGGTCCCCGGCAGGTTTCTGCTACCCCCTTACTGGTCACCACCCTTCTCTCCAATCTACCTCAACTCCCTACACACACACATACACACACACACACACACACACACACACACACATACAAGTGTGCACACACACAAATTCACACTTTGAGTACCAACATGAACACTTCAAGATGTGGCAAAGTCTTTAGAAACTTCAGCTTTCCGTCTTGGAGCTCATACTATGCACTAGCTAGTGATAAGCTGAAAGTACATTTTAACCAACATATAAAGCACTTCTTTAGTTTTTGTTATTTCTGTGTCTATCAATTATTTTATGTTTACATTTTCTTAACTTTATTTTGAAAATTAAAAGATATAGAAAAGCAATAATCTCTCTCTATATATGACCCCACCTCCTGTACTAACACCCTCGATTATGTCCTTTCACACCTTTTTCTGCGTTCATTCACACATAAAAGCATATGTACAGTTGTATGGGATTTTTTTTTTTTGCCTGTTTTTACCACAGTAGAATCATTTTATACACAATAATCTGCAAGTCGCTTCTTTTCCACTTGGCAATTTTCAAGGATATCACTACCAGTCAACATATATAGATCTAACTCTACGCTTTTTTCTTACTCACTCATATACACAGAGATATAATTTTGCATAAGTGGGATCCCATTCTTGTTTAATCCCCCACACATCTGGAGAACCATGGCATTCTCATCGCTCTATTCTAGCACTTACCTCTTTGTGTAGGATATGTCTTTTTTTAAACTTGTATCCATGACCAATAAGTAAACTTATAACCTTATTAGTCCTATGTCTCCTCTAGAGTAAGAGCCCAAGTAGTATCTGCTGAATGAATGAAAGCTTGTGTTGTTACTCTTCCTACTTTACAGCCAGATAAGAGTCTCAGAGCATTAAGCAATCTGCCCAAGAACACACAACTAAAATATTCATTAGTTTAATAAGAAGACAATGTCATTTTAATAAAAATGGGCAAAAAAATTTCAGGAGACAGAATATTTGCATAGCCTCAAAGTATCTCTCCCAATTTTTTATTAATTACCGTGGGGAAAACAGTAACTTTACAGTGAAGAAACACGATCTCAAGGGGTGGAAAACCTGCAGCCTTGGGCCTGCATGTGGCCGTCTGAATCCTTGAGCTCGGCCTTTAGACCGAATCGAAATTTTACACAACAAATCCTTTTAATAAAGGGATTTGTTAAGGACTTGTTCTGTGAAGTTTGGATTCGGTTGAGGGGCCGCACTTGGGGATCTATCTGGAGGGCCACACGTGGCCTTGAGGCTGCAGGTTCCCCACCCCTTCCTGAACCAAGTGACTGAGGCTTATTTTGTTTTGTTTTGTTGAGACAGAGTCAGCCCTCCAGAGCCTGCATATAGGAAAAGTTGACCCTCCCTATACTTGGGTTTCACATCCCAAGAATACTGACTGTATTTTCAATCTGAGTTTGGTTGAAAAAAAAATCCATGTATAACTGGACTCATCCAGTTCAAACTTGCATTGTTCAAGTGTCAACTGTACATATACATGTCAAAACTCATCAAATTGTATAATTTAAATATACACGGTGTAATGTACAGTAGTTCCCCCATCTCTGAGGTTTTGCTTTCTGCAGTCTTAGTTGCCTGCTGTCAACCTTGGTCCAAAAATAGGTGAGTACAGTAAGTACAGTAGTACAATAAGATATTTTGAGAGAGAGACCACATTCACATAACTTATAGTATTATAACTGTTCTATTTCATCATTAGTTGTTGCTAATCTCTTATTATGCCTAATTTATAAATTAAACATTGTCATAGGTATGTATGTACAGGAAAAAACAGTATATATAAGATTCAGTACTATCTGCAGTTTCAGGCATCCACTGGGGGTCTTGGAACATATCCCCCTTGGATAAGAGGGCACTACTACAAATCAGTTACATCTCATTTAAACTATTCAACGTGTGTATTTGGGCTCCAGGAACCTGCAGAAATAGTGTGATCAGTTTACGTATCATTGCACTACATGCTAAATCAGATCCAAAGTAGGTGTGGAGTGGGACACACTTCACCAGTTATGGAGAGGCAGGTGATAGAACACTTATTCCCCTATGGGGTTCCCAGAGATTAGGACTTTATGTCTGGAAACCCGCATCCCTCAAAAGTATGAGAGAAGTGGATCCTAAATTTCTGGGAGAGAAGGTAAGAGCTGAAAGCACCTAGCAGAGCCCTGTAGTTTATATCCTGGGGGAGGGTTTCCCTCAACTCCTGGCAAAGGGTTTTGCTGCTACAGCAAATGAGAGATTCCTTATTTTTAACTTGCTCTGAGTTTCATAGAGGAAGGTAACTCACTTGAGCCTTTCCCCACAGGGTGCCTCCAAACCACAAATTCCTGATTCCTACTCTGGTTTATTCTAATAAGAACTAAGCTGATCCCTTAATCCCTGTTTAAAGGGCCCGTGTTTATTGAAACCATAAAATCTGGGCAAAGGGTCATGAATCACTCTTTAGCTGGGTCCAGCGCGTGGGGCGGGTGCAAGACTGGGAATGGACACACAGAGGTGACGTTATTAGGACTCCTGTCTGTTTCTTTGGCGTTTTTCCTTGTAGGCACATCCCTGTGAACCCCTGTACTGTGAATCTCTGAATGCGCCTGCAGACCTAGCTCTCCACTTTCCACGGCTCTGTGCCTGGAGGGAAGGGTGGGGCAGCACTGATGGCTTCCAGCTGGGTTTCCCAATGGGAGGCACCAGCAGGAAATCAGAGGAGAAAGATATAGAAAGATTGGGGTATTCATCCCCCAGCTCCCTCCCTGCCAGGCCACTGTTCCACAGTGACTGGGGGTTTTCTACCTAAGGGCACAGCTATGGGCAGGTGCCCCCTCCCCTTGTCCCTTTGGGTCTAGAGATGTTAACATCTTCCCACTATTCCAACAATCTCTGCTGCTTTACCTCCCTGGACAGTTCCTTCATGCAGGTCACATCCTTGCACCAGTTCCTTCTTAAACCCTCATTAGCCCTTTGAGTGTGCAATCCCTCTCTGGCTACAACTCTGACCACACACCTTCACAGCCCCAACCACCACCCTCATGCATAGTCTTTATCTCCCAACAGTGCACAGGTTGCTGATGGACCACCCACAGGTCCCCGAGACTGCCCTCCCCTCCTGGTCTTGAAGCTCCTTCTGCTTCTCCTATTGTACCTCCCAGGTTCTTGTTTCCATCACACCCACCTGCCCACTGGCCATATTTATGCTGATAACGCTCTAAATTTCAGGCCATTTCCTCTTTCTCAAGCAGAATACCGCGCTCTTATACTGTTAATGTCATCTCCCTCTTCCCAGACATAAAAGCTGGGAAATTAGGTGACATCTAATCTCTCCCAGAGGAACCC